GACATTGATCCCGCTCCTGAGAGATGCTGTTATTAATGGATTACACCGCGTATGTAATACTATTGGGACACCCCACAGCCACAATCGTGCTCCTCCTATTCAACATCGTATTTTCCCCTGGGACACTGTGAGCTGCAATAAAGTGGAATTTAATCTGCTACGCTTTGCCCAAAACGCCTCTGACGACGTCAAGCGCACGGCTTTTTATTCTATTTACTCCTCTCTGGGAGCGTATGATTTTGAATTATGGACAGACGTTTCTTCATCTCTCGCTGAGCTCGCATCTGTATCCGCTGCACTATTGTACGGCTCCACCACGACAAATGATCTCCCTGTGGAGGTACATCGTGCAGCAGCTGGCAGGCTCGCATGCTCATAGAGAGCAGAGTGCCTTGCCACTGAAAATGGCATTAGACATCTCATACCTTTTTGTCTGGGAACATCCCAATCGCCCACACGAATCCTGGTGGCAACGGACTCCCTGTCGAGAATTGAGGCACTCCGCGTCGTTCCACTGGCCGTGCGAGGCTACGTCACTGAAGAGAGTTGGATTATGCTGCTCTCCTTGATACAGCGAGTTCACTCTGTAGAATTCATGTTCTCTCCATCGCACTGCGGTATCCCACGCAATGAGGCCGCTGACGACGAGGCCATGATTGCACGATCCCTCCCGCAGGAGGGCAGCCCAATCTGGCACGTGGACTTTTTTACTGCAGTCAGGTGACCGTACTGGAGGGGCGCCCAGAAGAAAAGGAAGGCGCGTACACCGCATGGCAGGCGCCTGTCGGTGTGGCAGGGACTCTATTCCTGGCACGGCCCGGACATCGTGCCCCGAGTGGCGGCTCTGCGCAAAAGCACTGTGCGATTCCTGCCCACTCCTCGACATGCCTGCGCGTGCCCTTCGCATCACAAGGAACCCTCTGTGTTGGTGGTGCCGTCCCTCCCTCACTGAGGAGACTGGCCCGCCGCTGCCTCCGCCGGAAGCTCTTCCCGACGTGAGCGCCGCAAATCCTTGCCGACCAGCGAGCGGCGGATTGACTTTCTCCTGCGCAACCTGCAGCATAGTCTGCGCTCGTCCGTCCACAATATGAGGGCACATTCCCGACGTGCTCGGCCTGGCGTTATAATAGTTTGCGAAGGCCTCCCATGCGGATGCCACAATGGCGCCAGCGTCTTGTTGACAGGCGCCTCGCACACAGTTCGCCACAGAAAGCGCCAAGCACGCCAGCAGGCAAGACACGCAGGAAGCACAACCGCGGACACTCGAGATGGACCACGGGATACTTCGCTCCATCCACTGCAGAGATGCCCCGTCGTTGGTAATTGGGAATGCGGGTGTTTTGGAGTGCCCCAGCCCGCACGACGGCACGTTTCGGACGGAATGCTTGCCACTTTTGTACGGACGGCCCTTGCGCTACTCACTCGTTATTGTAACAGCATACAGCAAAAATAGGATGAAATGTTGCTTTGTGATGAATATTGGCTGCGATTCCCGTGGACCAGTAATTTACGTGGTGTGCGGGGATCTCCCTTTTTTTCATTGTTAGTTTGCTTTTGTGTTGCTGTGTGCGCTGCACCTCCTTGTGTGTGTGCGTACCCTCCGTGAGGGGTGCCGACACGACGGACCGCTCTCGCCGTGTGTGCATGCGGTGGAGCCTTGTGTGCCGCTCCTGTTTGCTTCTCCCTCCTCCATCTGTGTGTTGGTGTTGCGGCAGGGCTTCTGTGTGTGCCTGCTGCCGTGGATTGGAGTGTGTGTCGTGCGTGGTGTGCGGCGTACGGTGCATGCCTGGCTGCTGCCCTCTCCTCATGTGTGTGTCTGCCGCACCTCTCGTCCCCCTGTTGCTCTCCATTTCCCTCACTGCGCAGATCAGCTCCACACCACTGAACGACCACACTCACGATGATGACGTGCCGTCTGCTGTGCGCCCTGTTGGTGCTCGCCCTGTGCTGCTGACCGTATGTGTGCGCGGCGGGGAGTGAAGATAAAGCTGAAAAAGCTGCAGAAACTCCAACGCTCCAGGATTCAGTGGTTTCAAACGATTCCGACAATACACGAGCAAAAGTCATGGAAGATAATGGACAGACATCAGATAAGGAGGCCATTCATTCAGAGAGACCATCTAAGAAAGTCTCTGCGTCAGCAACTCCATTTCCGACAGGTGCAGAAGAAGAAGGACCAAGTAGAGCGCCTGCTTTCAAGATGGAATAGGTGCGTCTGGTCAGCAAGGGGCATCAGAAGAAAATATCATTTCACCAGGATCAACAGGTGATTCCGATAAGTCAGATGTAAATAATCGGGAGCATAATAAAGAAGTGGCGCTAGCCGGTAAAGAGGTTAAGGAACAGGCACCTAACCACGACAACCACAACGACCATAACTACTACAACGACCACCACCACTACGTCAGAGGCACCAAGTGATACGGCCATGAATGCAGAGGCGCCAACCACAACGACTTTCCACGCACCGTCACGTCTTCGGGAAATCGACGGCAGCCTCAGCAGCTCTGCGTGGGTGTGTGCCCCGCTGCTGGTCGCCGTGTCCGCGCTGGTGTACACCACTGTGGGCTGAAGAGGTGTGTGCGGGCTGTGTGTGCCAGCACTCAACCACGGGGACATTTGTGCGCTTCTACTGTGGTCCGATGTATAAAGTAAGAGAAAATAGTGATTGTGTTTTGCTTCATTTGCTTCCGCTGTCCTGCTGTGCGCTCCGGGTTGCTTCTCCACATCCGTCACGTTGAACGCAACCCAGACACACTCATATGCATGCACACTGGAGTCTTGGGTTTTTTTCTAATTTTTTGTTTTCGTGGTTTTTAGTGTTGTGGTTTTCAGTGCGGCGTGCATTTTCTGCAATCGTGCTGATCCAAACTATCTCGTTCTATGTGCTCTGCTTCTGTATACTCTGTGTTGTAGCCGTCGTGGATTTTTGACGTGTCTCTTAGCTTTGCGTTGACGTGTTGTTAGTTTGTGCTGAAGGCTGCACGCAAGTGACAGGAGTGATGGCGATGACGATGACTGGCCGTGTGCTGCTGGTGTGTGCCCTCTGCGTGCTGTGGTGCGGTGCCGGCGGTGGTGGATGCTCTGAACCAACTCAAGATCCTCAAGACATTACGTCTGGTAACGGCAATAATCATCAGAGTGTTAACAATTCCACAGGTGGCGGTGGAGAAGTTGGCCTAAGCGGTGAATCGGCAGAGTCACAAGCAGCAGGTCTATCGGTGACAGAATTACCCGGAGCTGGGGCGGCAACGAATTTACCAGGAGCGCAAACACCACCAACGGCAGGGACGGGAAACAATAGCGAAGATACGGGACAAGAGAATGAAGAGGAGGATGGTAAGCAACAAGAAGAGGACAAAAAGAAAGAAGATGAGATGGAGGTTGACAAGAAAGAAGAGGAGGCAGAGGAGGACGATGAAGAAGATAAGGATGACGACGTGAAAGACGAGGAGGAAGATGAAGAGCACAGAAAGATGAAAGATGATGCCGGCGCCACAAAGAAGTTATCAGCAGACAGTGAAGAGCAGCCGATTTTAACTTTTCCTGCGGAGGAAGCATCAAATAAGACAAAATCCAAAGGCACTCAAACGCCTGACGACGATGACCCAGCAGCCGATGCCGCAGGGACAGCAGAGGGAAAACAAAATGAGAATAAAGATGCCAATCCGAAAGAAACACCAGCGACGGCCGCAGCCATGAAAACTACAACGGCGACGACTGGCGACAGTGACGGCAGCACCGCGGTCTCCCACACCACCTCCCCTCCTTTGCTTCTTCTTGTTGTTGCGTGTGCGGCTGCTGCTGCGGTGGTGGCCGCGTGAGAGTGAGTGTGAGAGAGCCGTGCACCGCCCGCACACACACTCGTCCTTCTCTCTCTGTGTGTGTGTCCCCTTGCATGGACTCTCGCCCTCACCTCACCCCACGAAGCACACACAATGATGTGCCCATTGTATATATGCATGCACACCCATGCAGGCCCGTTGGTGCTCTCTTTTGCACGACACGCACCGCCGCCGTCCTGCCTGGCTGCATGGGCGGAGCACCGTAACTGTTTCTGTTTTGTTTTATTGCATTGAGTGGGCGACCTCTCTCTCTCTCCCTCTGTGTGTGTGTTTTGCTTTACGGGAGCAGTGAGAGTGTGTGCGCTGGTCGTCCCACGCTTCGGCTTTTTGTTTTTCTTTTTGATTTTGTGGTTGAGTGCACCCATTCCGCGGCTGCGTGTGTGTGTGTGTGATGATATGAGTAATTTGCGTGTGTGCTATCTGCCTCTCTCTGCCGTTGCTTTCTTCAGACTCTCTTGTGCTGAACGGCTGCTCTGCAAGTATAGGCGCTGCCAAACATACACACACACAAATTCACATGCCATTTTTCACACAATTTGGCTGTGGTGGCTCTTGCGGGGAGGGAGGGCGTGAGCTCGCCGTGCGTCCCCTGGACTTGCTGCGGTTGTGGTGTTGGCCTCGTGCAGTAGTTGACTGATGTGGTGTGGCATTAAGGGTACCTGGGATAAGTGCGCATGGATTCTTGCCCAGCAGCTGCACGTGCCGAGGTGTTTCTCCCGCTGTCGATTTTCCGACGAAGGATTCTCCGGCTGTGCGGGGCGATGTGCGATGGATGGTGCGGGGAGACAACAGTAAAACGACTGGCGGCAGCATGTGTGGGCGTAGCTCGGAGAGTCCTAAAGCGTGGCAGAAGCACCCGCCGTGACTCCTGTTGCTTTTACTGCTGGTGGCAGTCGCGGTGTGTTCCCGGTGCACTGTTCTTCCTTCTCTTTCCGTGTGTCTGTGTGCAGGCTTCGTTGCTGTTGGGAGTGACTGCGGTGCGGATGATGGTGCCGCTCACTGTGGATGGGTGGCGGTGTGTTTCACTTCATTTTCCTCTTCTCTCTCTTTCTCTCACACTGTTACGAAGAAAGCAAACAAGCGCTAATCGCTACTGTGAAATTTGAAGGCTCTGAAAGGACCAACAGCACACACACCGCCCACACACATATTTATATGCTCTCACGTGTTGCTGCAGTGATGGCACTCCGCACACACAACCGTTGCCGCGTGACCGGATCCAGCGGGAGGAGGAGGGAAGGAAGAGAGAGTGGGCCGCAGAGGCCCAACATGTCCCGGCATCTCTTCTGCTCTGCGGTGCTGCTCCTCCTTGTTGTGATGATGTGCTGCAACGCTGTTGGGGATCAGCAAGCTGCTGAGCCACCGCTATCTCAGGAACCTGTACCGAAGTCACCTTTTGCTTGGAGAGATACAAAAGATGGGGATACAGTGAGTTCTTTGCGTTTTCCAGGTCTTGTTGAGACGAATGATGGTGATGTGTTTGCCGTTGTCGAGGCTCAGTGCACGAAGGATGAATGCGGTTTCACTGGGATTGCCTCGGGGTTGTTGACATTGACTGATGATAAGCCAAAAAAGGAGTTGGATAAGAGTAACTTGAAGACGCAAGTACCGGAGGGATGTATATGTGAAGAAGGGAAATGTCCTGCCGGTAAAGAAGAGAAACGTGCCTGCAGTACAGCGGGTCAGGATGATCCCCAAAGCAAGACTAAAGTACATGTGAGCCGACCAACAACAGTTGTGAAGGGAAGTGATATTTACATGCTTGCTGGAAACTATAGTTGGGCATATGCCGAAGATGATCAGGCAGTTGGCTGGGGACTTGTGCTGGTGAAAGGGAACGTCAGTGATGAGAATCAAAAAGATAAAAGAATTTATTGGGACGATACTTACGCCATTCCGTGGACTTATAAAGGAAACCAACACAAATCCTTGGTGCGGCTGATCGGCGGCGGTGGATCGGGTGTTAAGATGAAGGACGATAGGCTTGTGTTTCCATTGGAAGGCACCACAAAGAAGGAGGTCGACACAAAAGAGGATGGAAAGGCCGTTTCGCTGATTATATACTCCTCGGATGCTAAGAATTGGAAGCTGTCGAAGGGGATGTCTGCCGATGACTGCAGTGATCCCTCCGTCGTGGAGTGGGAGGACAAAAAACTTATGATGATGACTGCGTGTGATGATGGCCGCCGCAGGGTGTACGAGTCCGCTGACATGGGGGAGTCGTGGACGGAGGCGCTCGGGACACTCTCGCGCGTGTGGGGCAACAACCAAAAGCGACATGATAAGGGCGTTGGAAGCGGGTTCATCAAAGCGACGATTGGCGGTGATGAAAATAACAGAAATGTGATGCTCGTCACTCTGCCGGTGTATTCCAAGAAAGATAAGAAGGAAATTCGGAAGGGGAAACTCCATCTTTGGCTGACGGACAATACGCACATTGTTGATATTGGGCCGGTATCCGATGATGACGCTGCCGCCAGCGCCCTGTTGTACAAAGGTGGGAATAATAATAATGAGAAGTTGATTGCACTGTACGAGAAGAAGGGCGTTGAGGAAACATCATCCGGTATGTTTTCTGTGCTTCTGACTGCGCAGCTGCAGCGTGTGAAGGATGTGCTGGCGACGTGGAAGAAAGTGGACGGACGTGTCTCCAAGCTGTGCCCTTCTAAAAGTGCTGAGAAGGATGCCTCACCTGGCATTGCCTGCAGTACTACTGTTAAGATCACAGCTGGGCTGGTTGGCTTTTTGTCCGGCAACTTCTCTGGTAACACATGGAGGGACGAGTACCTCGGAGTGAACGCCACAGTGGAGAACAATGGTGCAGAGGATGCAGGGGCGGAACCCGCGGAAAATGGTGTGAAGTTCACGGGAGCGTGGGCGGAGTGGCCTGTTGGCGAGCAGGGGGAGAATCAGCTGTACCACTTTGCGAACTACAACTTCACTCTTGTGGCAACTGTGTCCATCGACGGTGTGCCAGAGGGAGATACCCCCATTCCTTTGATGGGTGTGCGTCTTGACGGTGGTGAAAAAAAACTTATGGAGTTGTCGTACGAAAGCGAAAAGAAGTGGCGGGTGCTGTGCGGTGACGGCAAGATCAAGAGGCTTAAAAGCACTTGGGAGACACGGACACAGTACCAAGTGGCCATTGTGTTACAGAACGGCACCCAGGGCTCCGTGTACGTTGATGGTCAGCGTGTTTGTGGGAGTGTGCAAAGTGAATTGAAAAACGCGGAGTTGAAGGAGATCTCACACTTCTACATTGGAGGGGATGGAGAAAACGCAGAGAGAAAAGACGTTTCTGTGACTGTGACGAACGTCATGCTGTACAACCGCCCGTTTTCATTTTCAGGTGAGAATGCCGATGTGGAAGAAGATGGCGATTCACCATCGGAAGATCCGGAATCAGCGGAAGCCAATTCTCCATCCGTGGAAGGGGAACACATTGTGGCTCTCCCTGCAACGAAACCTTCTGAAGCTCCAGAGGAAAAAACGGACTTGCAGCGGTCTCGAAAAGAAAGTGAAGCACGGCAAATAACAACGGGGGGAAAGCCTGCCGCCACACAGCAAGTGCCGACGGCCCCGGGCCTCCATGCCGTTGGAGGAGCAACGGGTGATGCTGGCAATGTTTACAGAAGCGGACTGCTGCCGCTGCTCCTTCTGTTGGGATTGTGGGGGCTTGCGGCTCTGTGAGGAGTGACTGGCCTCCGCGTGGGATAATTGCGGCATCCGCTGCACAGAATTACTTCCCCGTGGGAACCAATATTTTTTAAAAATAAATTTTTTTCTTTTGTGTGTGTTTGCGTTGTTTACTTTCTTTTTTTTAATGCTTTAATTTTTTAATTTCTTTAATTTTTTTTTTTTTTTTTCATTTCCCCCATCCCTCTTTTTTTGCTTTTGGGGCAATCACTATGGATTTTTTTCTTTTATACTCTTCCCTCTTTAATTGTTTGTTGCTGCACTCTTCCTGCGAGGGGTGCCGTGTGTTTCCGCCCAACTGCTCCACTCGCACACCCACCGACACGCTCATGACGACGGCCCTGTGCGCCTCGCCTGCTGCACGCATGAGGAGGGGCCGCGACGAACGGCGCGCTGAGGGAGCCGTGACGTGTGGGCGTGCGACGAGGGCCTGTGGGGCGGAGCACACATTTCTTCCCTCCTGTTTTGTTTCCTTGCGGCGAGGGCTGGCAGACACCCGCAGCGCCACACACACAGCCACACCCTGCCGCCGTGTTTTTCTTTAAGGATTTGTTTTGCTTTGCGTGTTTATTTCATGCGGTGGCGCACCCTTCGGTGTCGGCCTCGTCAGCATTTCTCTCCCCTCCGATGATTTCTTTTTCTTTTGCTGCGCTCACTCTCCCGATGGAGTGACGCGACTGCCGTCATGTCTGCGTGCTTCTCTCAGTCCCCACACACACGAGTGACTGTGCTCTGCGGGCCGCACTCACGCACCGATGAGAGGGCTGAGCGGAGCAGCAACACGCGGATGACCCCATGAAATATAAACGATGTGCGGACACACGGAGGGTCGGACGGTTGAAAGACATTTAAATATCTTTTAAAATTTATTTTCGGACAAAATATGCGGTCAATTTCTGGAGCAACATGGTAGTCGGGTGCTTTTTTTTTTTTCTTTTTTTTTTACTTTTTTATCATTTGGGTGTGGCCGTAATAAAGGACGACATTTTTCATTTTCATTTTCTTTTTTTTTTCTTTTTTTTTCTTTCCAAAGTGTGAGGGGTGGAAGGGTGAAGATGAATTTTTATTTATTTATTTTTATTTAATTTTTTAATGAATTGCCGCTGCTTGGGCTGCAGTGCAGTATCATGAGCCTGAGCAGTTTTTTTCTTTTTATTTCTGTCATGCACTTCTGCTGTACATTTTTGTGCGTCCCTTCACATGCTCTGCTCCTGTTTTTACTTTTTTTCCTCGTGTGTCTGCAGGCACACACAACCACATGCACGCACAAAATGCAGATTTCAGTGGATTTGGATGCTTCTTTTGTAGCGTGTGCTGGCGGTTGCGTGTGGCTGCTGCTTCCTTCGTGGGCGTGAAGGGGAGGAGGAGAGGGAGCGCGCACCGTGAGTCACTCTTCCTGCGGGTGTGATGCGCGCGGTGGGCTGCGACTGCTGTGGAGGGCCGCATTCTTTCGGTGTGCGCTTCTCCGCCGTTGTGCCGTGCGTTTGCGCATGCCATTTGTTATGCGCGTGTGTGCTTGGCATGTTGTTTTGGACCGTTGGGCGGCTGCCATCTGTCTGTGGCGGATTGTGTGAGCGGGCACGTGCGGATGAGGGTCAGGGCGTATGGAATGGAGGAATGGCTTGCGGAAAGGGGAATTTGATTTGGATGGTATTTGGACCGGATTCATTTGGCTGCGGTGGCCACATGCACGACGGATGTGTTTCCGCATAATGGGGGAGGATGCGACAGGGTTTTCCGAAGTGGCCCGTCAATGCAATTCGGGTTCCATAGCACCGAGGCACAGTGGTCTTCATGCAATGGCTGGTGACGGCCTCTAGTGGATCGGTGTATTTATGCTGCTGCTGCTGCTCGAGGAGGCGTAGAAGTGCGATTTGAGGTGAGCGGCGAAAGGGCCACACATCCCGCATCGATGGTCGTCTTTGGCCCAGCGGGTGCCTCTGAAGGTTTTGTTGGATGCAGCGTCCTTATGCCCGTCTCTGGATGGCGGCATCCCTGATGCAGCCAACGGACGGGGCTGGGAGCGACGGTGAGACGCAAGCACGTGTGGATGTTCGGAGCGGCCGGCGCACCGCACGCTGAGAGCATGGCACGGTGAGGGCCGGACCTAGAAAAGGGACGCCGCGTGGGACGTCAATCTTCACTGCAGCGACCGCCACCGAATTCGGGTTTGCTCGCACCTTCTGCGGTCCCTCTTCCTCCCCTCACTTCTGTGCCGAGGTCTGTGCCGCGGGATCCAGCAGCGTGATGTTTGGCCGCAGGAACATGGCCCGAGCAAATGATTTGTGGGAGGGGATGTGCACTGCGGGGAAAAAGGAAAAAAATGGTTGCGAGACGACCACCACGACAAGACCGGATTGAAGTTGTGTTTTGTCCACTTGCGCGAGGGCGGCCTGCCACATGGTCGGTTGGGAGGATTATTTTTTTTTGTGTCGTTGTGCTCTCTTTTTATTCCGCTGCGTTTTCTTGCGGACCTGCGAAGGGAGATTTGCAAGAAATTCCTGCGAGGCGTCCGTGCCGTCGTCGGAAAGGCGGATTCCCCCTTGAAAAACGCTACTTTATAAATTTTTTTTGGGCGGGGAGTTCCTGTCGATTCACTGCGACTTTGTTTTGCGGATTTGATGCGTGTGTTTCCGAGCGGTTCGATCTGTGCTCCCGGCCCACTCGGATGTGTTGTGCGCGTCGACGTGAGGGTGCCTGCCAGCCGTTTTATTGCCTCCCCCGCTGTGGCTGCCGCCGTTGCCTTCCTCCCTTCCTGAGGTCCTGCGGCTTCTTGACACGATGTTTTGGAGAAGGCGTTGCCGCTCTTGTCGTCCATGATATTTTGATTCTGGTGTCGCGGTCAGGAGACATTGAACGAGAGGATTTGCTGCCCTTTTGTTTTATTTGCCCTCTCTGTTTGACGGCCAGTTCTACACAAACGTGCTCCTCGGCACCTCGGTTGGTGCTGGCGGGTTTGCTCACAGTTGTTGCTGGCAATCGCATGCGCCAACTCTTCTCTGCTCCCTTTCAGTGTCGCATTTTTTTATTGATTGACGGACGCCATTCTGTCCGGCGTGCTACTTTGATTGGATTGTGTGGGACTGCTCGCCAACGCCATCGGAGAAAGCAGGCCGACTTTTTCACGTATTTAAATTCCATCTTGCGCGCAGGTATTTTTTTCACATGTTCTGTTGGGCACTCAAACAGCATGGGGTCCAAAACTATGCGTGCGTGGAATTCTTCCTGCCATGTGGACTGCGGGCAACACCGAGAGGCTGCCACTTTGGCCCCGCAGAGTTTTTGTGTCTCTTTGCGGGGTTGGCAGGGAAATTCCGTGCAGCCTGCTACTGCTGGTGTGTCCTTAGATGTTGTCACTCCATGCGAATGATGTGCTTCAGCGAGTGAGGGGAATGATTGGGTTTGTGTGCGGTCTGATTGTGTTTGCTACTTTTTGCGGGCACGCAATACTTGCTTGGTGGGAAAATGTAGCGGGCGATGCATGGCTGCGTCTCGCCCATCGTTCACTGCACGATGGTGTGGTGCACATTTTGGTGTTGACTCTGCGATGTGGCTGCGGTCTCCTGCGCGGTGATGGTGGTGTGTGGAGGAGAGTGTTGACCCGCGGCGGGACGGTGGGATCGTGTTTTTTTTTCTCTTTGTTCCTTCCCTTTTGTGAAGGTGTGCACTTATTTTTTGTGTGAGTGATGGGGCAAACCGACAGAAAACGTGAATAAAACAAAATAAAAAGGGCGATATTGTGGCGGTGTTGGGGTTGGTTGCAGGCCTCGACTGCTTCACCGACAGGCGTTGCAGTGCGGCTGCATGACGCACCGACCGCCCCGCCGTGCGAGTGCCACGCCCAACGCCTTTAGGACAGCGAGACGAGACAGCCGCGACTGTCCTTTGGAGCCAGCGGTGCCTGCTGGCCGCAGTTTGGCGGTGCGAGTGGGATGCTTCACCGCACGGGTGTTGTGATGGCACCTCGCCGTGGCTCTTGTGATGGCTCCGACGCTGCAGCTCGACATGTGGGGTGGCGGGGAGTAAAGTGTGGCCGCAGTGGACCATGAGCAGCACCAACATGAGGCTGAGTGATTTCCTTTGGAATTATGTTGGCGGCAGGGCGGCCGTTGATGAAAGACTACAATGTGGCGAGGGAGATGTTTGCTCAGGAGCCGGATGATTACGTACAAGACCAGCGGCCTCTTGAAGAAATCCTTAACTTAACTGCGTGCCAGGCGCTGGAGGCCATTACTAGGCCTCTTCACGAAGGTGTGCACTCTCTCGGGCAACGTAGGGGCTATGAAAGAAAAGCATACGATCACTCCTCCTGCAAGGGGAACACCAAACGGAGTACTCACGCAGGTACCGACAGAAGCGAGGCGGGAGGCAGAGGAAAGGCTAAGAGGAATGCAAGAAATGAAATTTACCATTTCCACTAATATCGAAGACGTACTGTTTAAAGGAAGAGTTCGCGTCAACGTAATGAGGCTGAACGACTTTCTTACGAGGGAACTGGACGGCAGGGGCATTGTGGACACCAATCGGGATGTCTTGCTGGAGGAGTTTTTCAGGACCCCACGAAGTATATCCGTGATAAAGGAGCGTTGAACGAAATACAGGCATCGGGTCGTTTTTTGAGTATGAAGCGAGCTGTGAAGGGTGAAGTGATCTTCGATGAGGATATACGCAAGCTTTGCGATAAGGGCGTCAACAATCTACCGGGGTGGTCATTGGCTGCTGCGAAGGTAAAAAGCAACTGCTCATAACTCCACTAAACATTTCTTGGATGCGGCTGCCGAGGAGGCGAGGAACCCAACGACGACGAGCGCACCGAAGAAACTGGAGGGATGCTACGAGTCTGTGCACAATGCGAGGTGGAGCCATGCGGTGGAACTTCCGGACGGCGTGGAGCGAAAGAAAACGAGGACGGGAATGGGGGTGCATGAGGGGAGGCCAGAACAGTCATGGTCGTACAAGAAAGCTGACGACGCTATCGAAGAGAATGACGCTGTGCAGCAATTCGGTGCGGCACCTCCCGTGTTGATGGTGCTCGCCTTGGAGAAGGGATGGCCGTACTCGTGAAATACGATACAGGATCTTCCTAAGGACGTTTTGTATACTGTGAGGTGGAACAAGTGTGGCAGATCGTCAAGGGCGATCTAACCGCGTGGTTCAGCCCTCACGGTGGGACCGACTTTGAGCCCAAGCGACGTGTGTGTTGATTGGGACGCCCGGGATCGGGAAGTCGATGGCTGCCGGCTCGTACCTCCTCTACCAGCTGCTGCACTGCGACGTCGAGAAAATCAAAGTGGTAGTCCACTGTTTTGGTGGAGGAGATGCGTGCGTGTTTGACAAGACCACCAGAGCGGTGAAAAGATACAGCGATGAGGACATGTGCATCTTGGAGTTGAGAAGTTTGAGGGGGCATGGGGGGAATGTGTATATTACCTACGATGTGGCAAGGGAGGGAACGCCGCCACTGAGACATTTTGCGCCTACTTCTGGATGGGACATGATTGCGGTGTCATTCCCAAAGGTAGCCAACTATGATGAGTGGGCGAAGCAGCTACAGGCCGCGCGAGTCATCGTGAATTGCCCCGACGAGGTGGATGTGAGGGCGATGTGTGCCTGGATGAGACGTGATGAGACTCCAGATAAGCAAGCGGAATACTGGAAGAAGGTCAAAAAACACATGTATCTTTCGGGACCGATTCCACGTCACGTCTTTGATGAGGAGGCGTTTACGGAACGCTGTGGAGCGGTGAGGTTTGCATTGCAGTCGATCAACGAGATAACTGTGAAAGAGCATTTTTCACGGGGAGGTGAGTCGCCATGGTGTTCTGAGGATCCGTCCCACAAGCCTGTGGAAGCTGTTCGGGAAATATACGCAGGCGGTGTGATCCTTTTCAATGCACCGATGTCTGATTGCCTCGAGGAACGGACATTGGAACGCTTCCCAAGTGTAGCAGAATAAAATAACCTTTTGAGGCTGATGTTGGCGTCGAGGGATAATATTTTGCCAATATTTTTTGGATGGTTTGCTTTGAAATCGTTCACGGAGAGTGCCTTTGTCAAGGCAATAGCGACGAAACTCACGGAGTTTGAGCCGCCAACAGGACGCCAAGCAAAGCCCTGCTCTTGACGTTGGCTCCTGAATTGCATCCCGAGGGAGATGAAGGTTTGCTGCCGAGTGCATATGAAAAAACGATCCGTAAAATAAAGTACGGGGTGCTGCACAAACCGTGGGCCACAAACCTTCCGCTGGTGGACGTCTTATATTGGTGTCCAATCCAATGACGCTGGTTGGGCTGCGGATGGCTACGGCGGGTGGGCGCCACACCACCGCCAGCACTGTGCGGCACTTCACTGAGTGCCTGGCGGCATATTTTAATGGTTGGGAGGAGTTTTCCCGAGACATGTCGTGGGAGATTATTTATGTGCAGCACGCAGACAGCACGCCGATGGATGGCTGGCGGAGATGTGATGTCGTCAATTCCGATAATGTGAGCGACATTGAAAGCCGTGAGATTCGGTGTTCTGTGAGGAAGAGGTGCGCCAGTACCAAGTGTCAATATCGTACAGAGACTTTTGAAGAGAAGAAACTCTCCGAAGTGTGCAAAGATAATAATAATGGGAAACTAGATTAGGAAATTGAAAATGAACGAGACATTTTGATTTATGGTAAAAAATATTGCGGGAGTTATATATTTTTGGATGCTTGTGTGTGCATACGGTGCAGGTGCACCATCCCCATGCGGCAGCACCGCACACAAATGCCAAAATGTCCAACGCTATCGAACTTAACGGTGACCGAAGAAATTAGGGAAGGAGTGGGGTTGTTTGTTTCTGGTGAAAAACATTGGGTGATTTTTATACGGTATGTTGATTGTGTGTGCATACGAGGCGTAATTGGAAAATTGTCCCGGTATGAGGGAATCATTGTGGCTGGTGGTGTCACGGCGTTACCGCATTGTCCATTTTCTTCTATTGTGTTCTAAGGCCCATCACTAACAGAAGCATCTTAAAGGGATGGACGAAGAATAAGTTCTATTGAGGAAACAGTGCACTCCGTGTGACCGCGTGGAGTGAGGCGCCGCGTCATGGATGGATGAGGAATCGCTTCCGCGTGTGGCTCTTTTGGTGATTGCTCGCTCCGTGTGCGTTGTGTGCCGGCAGCGGGCTGTGACCGTATGCCGTTGGCTGTGGGATTGAACTGGAGGCGGTGGCGGTGTGTCTCTTCTCTTTCATTGTGGGTGATTGCTGGCGGTGTGTGCGTTTGTTGTGTGGAGGGCCGAATCTTCTCACCCGCGGACTGGCAGCACTGCGATGGTGCGTGTGTGTGAGGGCTGGTGTGGAGTTGCCGGCCAGGGCGAGGGCCGTGGCGCTGCTTTTTCCGCCCGCAATTTGTTTCTTTTGTGTCTTTTGTGCTGCTTCTTGTCGTTCCCCCTCTCACCCTTTTCTCCTGTGTTCCTGCGTGGAGTGGCCGCATGCTCACGGGCCATGTTGATCGTGAGTCCCTCCTGACGGCATCCATTCATCTCCCTCTGTCTGTTTGTCATTCCCTGTTGTGTGTGGCGTGTTGCACCGCGTGAGAACTGACCCGCACACACCGACGGCCCGCCGTGACTTGCCGTGTTGCTGCTCTTTTCTGTGGGCGATGGTCCTCCGTGCTGTTCCTTACGGATTGTCTCGTACCCCGCTCTCTGCGTGGGTGCTCTGCTCTGCTCCTCACTGACCTTTCTGGTGTATTGCCGCTGTTGCTGTTGCCTGTTGCTCCCCTCCAAGAAGGAAGTTACTACCAAACGCTAATCGTTACTGTGAAATTCGAAGGCTCTGAAAGGACCAACAGCACGCACACCGCCCACACACATATATTTATATGCTCTCACGTGTTGCTGCAGTGAAGGCACCCCGCACACACAACCGTCGCCGCGTGACCGGATCCAGCGGAAGGAGGAGGGAAGGAAGAGAGAGTGAGCCGCAGAGGCCCAACATGTCCCGACATCTCTTCTACTCTGCGGTGCTTCTCCTCGTTCTTGTGATGATGTGCTGCGGTGGAGCTGCGACCGCTGAGGTGGAAAATAATGCTGATGCTTCAACTCCTTCTGGGTCGAAATTGACAGGTGCCATTGCTTTAGAGGGGAGCACTTCAGGGGGTGTTGAGGGGCTGCAACGGGTCGATCTATTTGTGCCGCATTGGCTGACCTGGGCTGCGTGAGGGTGAAGTGGGAGATGGCGGAGCCGATGCGCTGGTGAAGGAATTCGTGCTGTGCACTGCTGCAGAGGAAGTGCTCCGCACCGAACATGAATGAATATCCCCAGATGTTCTGCGAAGCGGGCGTTCATGCGAGACGCTGCACGTTGGATCGGTATTCCAGTGGTTGGTGTGTAGACGAAGTATCCGTGAAGGGTCAGCAAAACGCCCGATGGACAGTTGCCCCATCACTGGTCCCGCACTGGATGTGAGAAATGCTGCCGCTGTTATTTGGAGGGGAGAATGTTTGTCTGCGGTGCCTGGGGACAAGCCCTCTTCGTGGTGTCTGGACACGCCTCCCACCAACACGATGGATGCGAGGGACCCGGAAGAAACATACATCTCGGTGCTGCCATGCATGCGGCATTGCGGTGCCTCAGCATGCGGGTGCGTCTGAGAGTGACTGAAGAGGGTAATGCCCGTTGTGCCCCATGCACGGACGGAGCGACGATGACGTGGGTTGCTCCGCCCTACGACGAAGGAAAAGCTATTTTCCGTGACCACGCGCAGGTGTGCACGATATCCGCCACCAGCGACAGCCTGCTTCCAGTGGTTCCGTGGGGTGGCGAGGAGAGAGTGTATGGAGCAGGACGGTCTCACCGGCATATACTGAACAAGCTTTGCTACGGGCGTCCGTCCCCGATCCAGAGAGCATTGGGACCGGCCGTGGCACACCACCGAAGTATGTGGACACGGCTGCTCCCAGAAGCATCCGTCGCCAGAGGAGAAGGAAGTCGCCTCCGGTGCCACGACGACAACGGAGTGCGCTTGCCCAGCGACCTCGCGGGCGCGCCGCAGGAGGCGGAGAAGGAGTGCGATCTTCCGGACATCGACTATGTGGCCGCCGATGGTGTGACGTCTGTTGTCGGACAATCATTAGGAGATGAGGCCGCCAGCGACAAGGCCGGTGGCGGTGCCACAGCCACGGGACCCAGGAGCCCTGATGCCGCTGGTGCCGCGCAAGGCGCCGTGGACCCTCCGCCGAGGGAGGATGACGCGGCGGTGGGGTGCGGGGGTTGGGAGGCAGACATGAAGGACGCCCCGCCTCCGATCCACGGCAGTAACACTGCGGCTGCTGCTTGTCCCTTTCCGCTGCTTCTTCTGCTTGCCGCTGCCGCCGCGGTGGCAACACTCAGCAGTGGGTGCAAGAGAGAGAGGCCTATATCAACTGGCATGTCCCTATCAGTATATACATACACTCTGCTTGTCCGTATACTTTGTACCAGGGACATGCTGTATGCACTCTCCCTCTTTTGTTGTTCGCTGATGTGGCGGCACCACGCATGTATTATGGGTTGGGATAAGAAATTGTTTGACTTCTTCTGGAGGATATCGTGCTGTGTTTGTGTGCGTGTGCGAGGGATCTGTGTGGTTTTGATTTCCCTATTTTTATTTACCTGCTTTGGCATTGTGTAATGGTACTTCCCTTCTCCATTATGTGTGTTCTGAAGTGTTGCTAGGGCACCGGGAGTGGATGCCTGTGGACGCACGCCGTGCATTATGCGCTACATTGGTGGGAGGGGAGACTGACATAACTGGCGGGATTCAGTAAAGCGCATTTTTGCCCACAGACCCTGCAGCCGCAGCAGCCTGAGTGGCGCTTTGCATATGGACGTGTGGATTGTTTCTCTCTTGCGAGGCCTTTTCTACTGCGTGTCATTTTCCGCTCGGGTACCGTGCCCGTGGCAGCAGCGGCGGCATCAAAAGGGCTGTGTGCGTGGAGAGTCCTTGATTGAGTGCCTGTCTTACTTCTCTGTTCTGTTGATTGATTGTACCGTGTGCCGACCAAACGGTTGGCGTGACGTTCTTCTGACGGCGGGGTCCACGTGACATGATGTTGCGTCGCGTGGTTTGTTGCGGGTGTGTGATTTCCGCAACGGTTTTTGGGCGGTTGACTGTTGGGTCGTTGAGGGCGGCGTGGCGACGGGTGTGGATGGACCCGATTGTGTGCCGTGGCTGTTCGTGCGGGGAGCCGCGGGAAGGAGGAAGGCAGCGGAGCGATGGGCTCACGAGGAGTGCGGTAGCGTGCAGCCATGAAGATTGGCGACAGGGAACTCACTGCCGCTGCGAGTTGCCGTGTGTGGTGTTTGTTTCTGTTATTATTGCTTGCGTTGTTGGATGTGGCCGCTGTGGGGGAAGACTGTTTTTTGTTTCTTTTTCACGCCTTTTTGGGATCCTTTTCTGCACCGGCATCACTGTGTTCTTGCCGTACTGTTGCGCCCTCTTTCCCTTCCATTCTGGGGGCAGCTGCGGGTGGGTTTTACATGCCGTGGAGTTGTGTGCCGTGCTGTCCGGTGTTTCATTGTTGCCTGTTCTTCCTGCGTGCACGCGTCCCCCATGCTCATGACAACAACCCTCATGCAAACGCTACTCCTCCTTTTCCATGCTGCTGATGTGTGTGTTCTTCTCATCCTCCTCTCTGTGTCCCTCCCTAGACTGTGTGTGCAGCCGTGATGATGACGATGACTGGCCGTGTGCTGCTGGTGTGTGCCCTCTGCGTGCTGTGGTGCGGTGTCTTCGGTGGTGGATGTTCTGAAGCGCCTTCTCCAGCTCTTCCGGGAAGTGCGTCCGACGGGAACCCTCAAAAAGAAGGAAAAGCCACAGATGTCGCTGGAGGTGTCCAAAGCAGTCAACAGGCAGAGCTTCAAGAAACACCCGTACCACCGGCGTCAGGATCACAGGAATTGCCAGCGCGGCCGTCACCGGCACCACAACCCGGAGGAGGTGCACCAGATTCGGCAAATACAACGACGGAAAAGAATAATCCAAATACAGAAAGTAAAAAAGAGGAAAAAGATAGAAAGAAGGAGGAGGAAGATAACGAAGCCGAAGGAGAGGAAGACGAAGAGGAAGAGGAAGAGGAAGAAGAGGAAGGGGAAGTGGAAGTGGAAGTGGAAAAGGAAGAGGATGATACGAAAGAAAAGGAGGAGACAGGGAAAGAAAAGGAAGCTGTTACCAGCACCACAGAGGTGATCTCAGCAGGCACTGAAGAGCAGCCAATTTTATCTTCTGGTGCGGCGGGGGCATCGAATATAACAAATCCCAACAGCACACCAACAACTGGAGACGATGATCCAGCAGCTGATGGTGCAGGGACAGCAGAGGGAAAACAAAATGAAAATAAAGAAGCCGATCCGAAGGAAACACCAGTCGAAGCCACAGCCACGAAAACTACGACGGCGACGACCGGCGACAGTGACAGCAGCACCGCAGTCTCCCACACCACCTCCCCTCTTTTGCTTCTTCTTCTTGTTGTTGCGTGTGCGGCTGCTGCTGCAGTGGCCGCGTGAGAGTGAGGGAGAGAGAGCCGTGCACCGCCCGCACACACACTCGTCCTTCTCTCTCTGTGTGTGTGTCCCCTTGCATGGACTCTCGCCCTCACCTCACCCCACGAAGCACACACATAATGTGCCCATTGTATATACGCATGCACACCCATGCAGGCCCGTTGGTGCTCTCTTTTGCACGACACGCACCGCTGCCGTCCTGCCTGGCTGCATGGGCGGAGCACCGTAACTGTTTTGTTTTGTTTTTATTGCATTGAGTGGGCGACCTCTCTCTCTCTCCCTCTGTGTGTGTGTTTTGCTTTACGGGAGTAATGAGAGTGTGTGCGCTGGTCGTCCCACGCTTCGGCTTTTTGTTTTGTTTTGTTTTTCATTGTGTTGTGGTTGAGTCGACCCATTATGTTTTTTTTTTTTTTTCGGATTGGTGGTTTGCTTAGAATGTGTACGCATGAGTTTTTATTTTATTTTCTTTTTTTCTTTTGTTTTGCGGTATTGTCAGTGTTTCTTATCCTTGTCAAGCCATTAATTGCTTTCTTTTACGTACAGCATGCGTCAATTGGTCACGTTAACCCACGGTCTGCAGTGCTGCTGGTGCTTTTGGTTGTGATGATGTGTGTGGTGTGGTTGCCGAGAGGGAGTCCGTTGCCACCAGGATTCGTGTGGGCGATTGGGATGTTTCGAGAGAAAAAGGTATGAGATGTCTAATGCCATTTTCAGTGGCAAGGCACTCTGCCCTATATGAGCGTGCGAGCCTGCCAGCTGCTGCACGATGGACCTCCACAGGGAGATCATTTGTCGTGGTGGAGCCGTACAATAGTGCAGCGGATCCAGATGCAAGCTCAGCGAGAGAGGAAGAAACGTCTGTCCATAATTCAAAATCATACACTCCCAGAGAGGAGTAAATAGAATCAAGAGCCGTGCGCTTGAAGTCGCCAGAGGCGTCTTGGGCAAAGCGTGGCTGATAAATTCCACTTTATTGCAACGCACAGTGTCCCCGGGGGAAAATTCGATGTTGAATAGGAGGAGCACGATTGTGGCTGTGGGGTATCCCAATAATGTTACATACGCGGCGTAATTCATTAATAACAGCATCTCTCGGAAGCAGGATTGATGTCGCCGCTTTTCATCCATGGACGGCGGCATAGGTTCCGAGTGGGTAAGGGAACGCACGTCCTCAATACATCGGAAAAGTGTGAGGCGTTTGTGTTGTGTGGTTGCACGGAACCCAATGATCCTCCGCAGCGGTGCTGGATTGGCGACCAGGTGGACAGAATTATCCTTCTTCGATGTGCTGATGCCAAGGTTTGTTTTACGGCTGTTGCGTTACAGTACTTCCACGTGATGGAAGTGGGTGGGGGCAAGTATGGGACAATTGCCTCGCCACAATGCAGTGACACACTATGAACGTATTCAATCAAAAAGAATTGCATGGTGTGATGGGACGCACCAGCCCGTGCGACCAGCCGCAGCTGATAGCGGCGTGGCATGGTCTGCTTTGAAGCGGTGGAGGCGTGCGGACAAAAATTAAGGAGTCGTTCGACCGTGTTGCCCAGTAAGCGCACCGGGCATGACTGAATGCGTAGGTTCCCACTGCCAGGGAGGAGATCGACCATTTCCTCGTCAGACAGTGTGTGTGTGAAGAGATGTGGAATAAAGCAGCTTCGCTGTTATCGACGTTGATTTTAGGTTTTGCTCGGCAGCCCATGCCGTTGTAAGTGACAGGGCAGGCTGCATTGCCGCAGCACATGCATGGATGTCCGCACCTGAGGCAACAAGTGTGAGGGCGTCAGCGTGCATGAGGGCGGAGGCAGAATAGATGCTGCCCAGGCGGCGCAGCAGATCATCCACATGGCGGAAGAAGAGTTGGGGTCCCGGGACGCTGCCTTGCGGTGCCACGGCTGAGGCGAGTTGTTTCCGGGAGTGCGGTTCGCGAGTGCATACCCTAACATGGCGGCCCCGCAGGTAGTTGTGCAGCCAGCGTTTGGTTCGAGGCCAAGGCGCGGAAGTCTGTCAAGCATGCCAAATAATTTCCCATGGTCAGTGGTGTCGAACACAGTCGAAATGTCAATCAAGACTACGAGCGAGCGATGGCGACGAGGGTGCCGTGCGGGGGCGTCGCCTCCAGGGCGCTCATACTCCACAGTGCTGAACTCATTCAATCCACGGGTAATTTTATCGATGACAAGTGTCGCCACGTCCGACGTAGAACGCGGAGGTGCAAATCCGAATTGACGTGGGTGGTGCGGCAATAACGCTGACAGACGGCGGCGAATCATTCCTTCGGTTAACTTTAGTAACACAGAGAGTGGTTTGATAGGTCTGTGACTCTCTGGGCGGCATGGATCCTTCTCAGGTTTGGGAATAGGAATATTGTCCACCGTATTCCAGGAGCCAGGCAGGCTGCCGTTTGCAAAGGAGTTGTGGATCATCGTTCTAATTGTGCCACGCGCAACGGGCCCGAGACGGTGCAGGAACTCATTCAACATGTTGTCGGGGCCAGGGGCTGAGCCGAGCGAAGAGTCGCGGATGGCCACGTCAAGTTCATACGGCAGGAAAGGCCGATCCATTTCCCAGCCACCAGGAACCAATGGAGTGCAGCAGCAGCAGTATAAGGTAACGTGGCACGTGAGGCACGCACAAAATGAAGGACGAGCAGATTTGCCTGTTGCCGAGGCAGGGCACAGTCCGAAGTTCAGTGCGGAGCACAACCGATTCCAGGGGATGAGGGTGCGGCGCCGCCACGCCGCGAAGATATCGCCACCTCGGGCTGGATGAAGCTCCAAGTTTTTCCACACGGGATTCAAAAAGTGTAATGAAAGTACAGCGTAAGGCCTCATTTTCTTCTCCCCCTTTTTTGGATGAATTCGGCTCGAGGTAGGATGTCTCCTGGTGAGGCGATGTGTGTGCTTTGTATGCTGCTTCTGCGGCGACCTTAGCTTGCAACATTTCGTGTGTCCATATTCGTTTTGGAGCTGTCACGGCTGCCGCGCGGGATATGGCGCTCAGCCGCTCGTAAGATGCCTCTGCGAATGTCCAACCATGTGGACACGGTAAAAAGGAGTGTTTCACACAACGAAATGAAAGCAGGCCAATCAGCTTTGCGCAGGGCAAAGGTGGCTTTCTTCCGTTGAGGTGGCGTGTTGGCTAGTCGTGGAGTCCCATCGTCCATCTCCATCGAGTAAGATATTCAGCAGTGGTCCTAATCCATGTCGGGAGTGGATTGCCGGTGGGAGATGCGTAGTACGCGATACGCAGTCACGCCAGGGGACGAGATATTACGATGTGTGATCCGTGTTGCCTGTGCCGTGTCATTTGCCGGCTCAAAATTCAAATCAATTAAAATAGCGGCAAAGTTCTCTCCTCCAGTCGTTGGTGGTGTATGGCTGTCCCGAAGCTCATGATGTAAATTCAGGTCACCCGCGATAATCGCTGCGGGCCCAAGCGACGGAAGATATTAATAAATGCGTATTATTGACCAATTTCTGTGGGAGGGTTGTAGAGAGTCACCACGCAAATGCTGGAACAGCTGGGTGGAAATACACGGACAGCAATGGTCTCCAGGAGTTCAGTGCCAGGGAGCGTCAGGCGCTCGCACGGTAGAGAGTGGTGCACCAGAATGGCAACGCCACCACCGCGCCCAGTGCGGGACTGAAGAAAGCCATTATGGCCAGATAATTTCGTCGTTACGTTGCTACGGTCATTTATTTCCTGGAAAGGAACGATGTCAGGTTGATGCAGCTCCAAACACGCAGCAAATGCAATCTTTTTTACGGACGAGAGGCCTGCAATGTTAAGCCGCCAAATATTGATGCAGCCATCCTCCTCGGTGCCAGGGTTCTTGTGAACGTCACCGCAACGGGTGATATCAACGGGGTGACCGCAGCGAAACGGCCGTGCAGTATTGACCGACAGCCTGCAGGCAGACCGATTCACCTCCCCGCACCGGGCATGGCGTGGAACCTTCTCGAGGGGTGGAGTCGTCTTGGTCTCCGTCGTGCTCGCAGCAACGCCCTGCTGCGGAGTTCCTACATGCAGCCAGAGCCCCAGCACCGCGACAAGGTGCGACTTCATCGAAAAGAAAAAAGCATGGATGCATCAGGGTAACAGCAAAGCATCCGCTGGAAAGTCAAATCACAGGCACGCATCACCACAAACAAGCAGCAGCAGAAGCGCTGCAAGCCACGGGTTAACGTGGACCAACTGACACATGGCGTATGTCGAAGGAAAAACTTAGTGGCCTCGCAAGGACAAAAGAGGCTGACACTTTTGAAACAAGAAAAACGATATGGGAATAACAAAAGAAGACTAAAGTGTCCGCAGTCAAAGCATGCCGCCAATCAAAAAAAAGTGGAATGAGTGCACTCAACCACAAACTCAAAAAGTAAAACAAAACAAAAAACCAAAGCGTGGGACGACCAGCGCACACACACTCTCATTACTCCCGTAAAGCAAAACACACACACAGGGAGAGAGAGAGAGAGGTCGCCCACTCAATGCAATGGAAACAAAACAGAAACAGTTACGGTGCTCCGCCCATGCAGCCAGGCAGGACGGCAGCGGTGCGTGTCGTGTAAAAGAGAGCACCAACGGGCCTGCATGGGTGTGCATGCATATATACAATGGGCACATTATGTGTGTGCCTCGTGGGGTGAGGTGAGGGCGAGAGTCCATGCAAGGGGACACACACACACAGAGAGAGAAGGACGAGTGTGTGTGCGGGCGGTGCACGGCTCTCTCACACTCACTCTCACGCGGCCACCACAGCAGCCGCAGCAGCACACGCAACAAGAAGAAGCAAAAGAGGGGAGGTGGTGTGGGAGACCGCGGTGCTGCCGTCGCTGTTGCCAGGCGTCGTCGTGACAGTTTTTATACCCGCAACAGGGAGTGTTGTTTCATTGGGATTATTATCTTTATTCTCATCCGTTTTTCCTTCTGTCCCCGCGACATCTGATTCCGTTGTATTTTTCGGAATATTTTCTCCAGTGCCCTTTTCCGTTTTGTTGTTA